CCCCCGCCACTGCCGCTGTGGCCCAGCAGGGATCGGTTGAGTGACGGTGAGGCGTAGGTGCCATGACCGAAGGTGCGGCGGTACGATGAGGCGGTCTGACCGGAGGAGCTGTAGGAGGCCATGTTGGAGGACACAGAGAGCCTGGCGAGAGCTGCTGCAGAGAGGAGCACTGAAGAAGAACCTGCAGCCCTCAACTATTTGTAGTTACCTCCTCCCTCAATTTTTACCCCCTCCTTCCTGGGAACTGCCCTCCCTCTGTCTCTGTCTTTCTCCTTTAGCCCTTCTTGTTACATTCCTTTTCTTTCTTCTCTCCTTTCCTGCCTTCATTTCTTCTCCATCTACCTTTCCCCCCTTGCCTTCTCTCCTTTCTCCCTCAGCCCTTTCTCTTCACTTTCTTCTGCTTTTGCAGGCATTCATATTCTATATAGCCACCAATTTTTGCCTTAAGACAGGATGTAGAAAGAAAAAGGCAAAACAACCATAATTATGATCAAAGGAAGGAACAGACATGCTTAACACACTGCATTTGTTGTCACTACGTGCTTTAAGGCAACTGTTGTTGTGATTTGGCACTATATAAATTAAGTAAAATCGAATTAAACTGAATTAAAAACAACCATTGTCCAAGCTGTTACTTGAGTTGCTGACTTAAGGTTTTTTTTCCAATTTGTTTATAACATATTCATATTTTTATTGGCTTTGAGTGGTCATGTGAGTATTCATCAGTATTTTAAGCAAATGATTACAAAACATGTTTAACAAGTGGAAGTCCTACAGTTGCCTTAAAACATATGAATTTTAAAGCCACAAATTCAGTGTAGTGTGAGGTTGGGGTGGGTGGATAGGTCAACAAAATACTGGACATAAACAAAATAGACCTGTTTCATTTTTTTAAACCAGTCAACCAACAATGTGTAGCATTTCCATATCTAAGTGTACGAAAAGGGTCTGCAATCAGTACGGACATCCATGTGTTTGGCACATCTGTAACAGTTAAAACAAGAAGAAGACGTCATGCAGCAGGCTATGGCAGCTTTTTTTCTCCCACTGAATAAAAGCTTTTTGCCATTTCAAAGTCAAAAATTCAGGTTACGCTTGCAAAATTTTTAGTTAAGGGTAAAATCAGGATTAATTCAATCACCCTGCTGGATACACTTGATTGACAGATATTAGTTTGTAGTGGCTGGCAGAGATGGGCATGTAATCCGATTACTTTTTTCAAGTAACGAGTAAAGTAAGGGATTACTATTGCAAAAATATTGTAATTAGATTACCGTCACTTTCCC